CGAATACTGCTGGAGGTGCCCCCAAGAAATTCTTCTGGTCTTGCTTGTCGACATGGCGATTTCTCTGTAGCGAGAAACTGGTGGACCACCCAGCTAGCTGCTGACTACAAGCGTATTTGTTTCACTTTCAAACAATCAGCGATCACGCCCATTGTTTGCGTGCTGGACATGGCAGGTCTTCTCACGGAAGCTCTGGTCATTACTCGACAGGTCAATCGCGTTAGTTGTTCGGGGTAGCTTTCCGCGTACATTTGTTGGATTTTGCTCTATGGCAGGCAGACTAGTTTGATCATGAGCTGTTCTCTTGGCACCACGGCCTTCGTAAACTACATAGCTTGGGCTCATAGCTTACGGAAGAATCTTCGAGGGAAAACATTGTTCCCGGGCGTACACCGGTCGAAGTAAAGAGAGCGAGGAAAAACCTAACGTCAACAATACCGTACGAGGGTCTATCATTCCACAGAACACTCAAACCGGCCCCCCTTGCCTCAACAAATCTTTCGCGCTGATGGTTAGGTGCTTCTCCACCTCCACCCCACGGATCGTGGGCATCCGGCCGGAGTTTCTCATATACGGAGAGTTGAACACCCCAGATATGCTCTTGGTGCTCACGAGATGGTGAAGGTTTTGCGCGATTGCCTACCAAACACGGACGGGTGGCGAAAAATAGTTGCAACAGAAATGAGATTCGTTCCCAAGAAAAACGGGGGTGCACGAGCTCACCCATACCTTGGCTGGATAAACAGAAACAAACGTCAACGCGATTGTCTCGGAGTGGAATCCCGCTCGACGGCCTAGCTACTCTTGTACCCGAAGGACCCGGGAAACGGCGCTCGGTCCCGCTGAAGGATGACTATATGTGGATTGGTAGCCTAGAGCTAGCACGATTGTCAGGTGACGATCACGTCGAAGATACCGCCTTTCAACCAGGAACAGCCAAATCTTACCGAGTGCTTCAATCGTGTCCCAATTGCTGTGAGCTGGAACACGCTATCGCAGCTATGGTTGGCTTTGTACCACTGAACACCACGCGTGCTCGAGCAAGGGAACGAATAAGAGGGGGAGTTGCACATCAGGGCAGAGCAGCGAGCAACAAATGGGGCCTGTCACCTGCAGCTTCGCTTGGTCAGCAACTTCCTTATTCGCCGCCCTCTCCTCCAGCAAAGCCTGCTCGTGCTCTCGGAGCTCCGCCCTTACAGCATCACCCGCGTCCACCACCTGGGTTCGTATGAGTGCGAAGGATAGCCTTCATTTTATGAAAGCTTCACCACCAGACCCTTCCCTTGAAAACTGCTCCACGATCCCAACTGTGCACCTCAAGACCCGTGCCATTCGGGATCACACTATGGAACGTACCGCCGGTCAGCATTCTTCACAGTCGCCCCGGGCGTCTTGACATTCCGAACGGTCTTGTGCGGAGTTCAGCAACTAAGCCGCGAAAAACACTCATTTTAGAGGGGTTCAGGGGACACATGAAAGTCCACTCGAGAGCGTACTGTGGGACGTAAGGCCACTCGGGAGAATACTACGGGGCGTTTAGTCGGTCGACATTTTTCGCATTCACTCCGGACATCATACATTTCGCACGGCTTTGTGCGGAAATTTAGCGACTACTTCACCGCAGAAATGCCTCATTCCAAAGGTCTTCAGAGAATACATCTCTTGAAGGGTACATAATTTGTTACCTCTTGAAGGTACCGTTTCCTCCTGGCGTGGTTGTAGTTGTACTTGCGGCTCTGATACCCTCGGAAAGCTCCCTGTATTGCTAGCGCATGGTAGTGGTACACCGCCATCCTTTCTCTGCGTAGTCATCGGGGTTCCAACGTTGTCATTCCCAGAGTATGGGGCAGAAGAAGTTATCAACATGGGCACGTTGGCGTGTTGTGACGAGCGGTGGGGATATAGTGTGGCACGTCAATTGGTTTACCCGGGCGGCATACTTCGTTCAATTGTTTCGTCACGACAAGATCAAAATGTGTCACGATGACCACACGACGACAGCAACAGCGTGTGCATCGAACAACGACCAGGAGCAGCGTGCCGATAAATGACGAAGCGAAGTGAACGATGAGGTCTAACCTTCTCCCGAGCATGCTGCCCTGGCGACTGTGCCTTTCGTGTTTCACCATCCCACGTGAACATCTACATAGTCTTAATCTCGATTGTACAAGAGGAAATGCAGCAGTACTGCACCGGCAGACCCGCACCTCGCCAATGTTTCCTCAAGTACTTGTTGAGTTCGAACACGTCCCCGGTAGCCACGGTAGGCGCTAGCGATCCTTATCATCGCCGCTCTCTTCCGGTTGAGATCGTTTCGAACGGTCTGCGGGATCCCAACATGGTGGTACCATTGTCGAAGTGAATGCCGGGTCTTGTGCTTGGCTCATACATCCAGACGAAAGCTCTTCACGCCACTCACGCAGCGATGTGCCCTTGAGAACGCTTGATACTTCTTGTTCATATCACCAACAATGTTACGCCCCATGTTTCCTTTGATAGTGCCTGAATGGCACACAAGCATGGCGCGTTCTATGTATGCGGGATTCTCGTAATCATGATGAACTCGGAACATCAGTTGTTTGCACACCTTTCCTCGATACACCCGCTTGATGTCGGTTGCCGCTTGAACTTCTTGCTGCCTCGCCGCGTTTCGAGCCTCTAGCATGGCATCCAGTTTCGTCAGCACCGAAGCCCGACATGACCACACCCCGTAGAAGTCGGCCATATGGCCTACAGTACCAAACCCAAACGATACGACCTTTTCTCGTCTTGTGCAAGGATTGCTGCTTGCTGCAATAAAGAGTGAGCACAACGGATGTTGTTGCGTTCGTGCACCAAAGGGTGTACCAGAGGGTAGGGAGCAGAGCGTTCGAGAGAGAGAAAGGACCACCAGGGAGGACGGGGGAGAGGTGTATAGTCTAGATTCGGGGAAAAGACAGGTCTAACACTGAAATGTAGTCTACATTGATAGGCAGGAGAGGTCCCTGATGTTCCATACTTGTACAAGTACAAGGGTGCATCAGCGAAGCAGAGCGAGAGAGCGAGCGGGAATAGCGATGTTTCGGTTCGACAAACGAGAACTTTTGTTTTTGCCGTTTCGTCATGTGGCAGATGGCAGCCTCACGGTCGCACAGCCGCACCCTACTGTCTAATCTGACTACCGTACTGCATGCTTTGCGCTGTGAAGGTGCCAGGAGAGACAAAACACATCTTGGCGACGAGTCCACAGTGCATGGTCACGTTGTAGATGTACGTATGCACTTCCCATTCAGATTGCTTTCTTGGGTTGGGAGCTCGAAGGAATTAGCAAAGCCGAAAAAGGGCGACCGGACATGAAATGACGGTTTCACATGCGGCGCATCTCCATTCGAATTGACGGTGGATGTGTCACCAGCGCGAGAGCTCTCTCTCTCTCGCCTTTTCATCTCGCTTTCTACGCGCACCACCTGACTCACGACCAAGGGGCTATGGTTTCAGGTCTCGAGATGGACCGTTCATCCCACCATGCCAAGGGAAGCCCCGCGACGACTCCGCAGTTGAGAAAGATTGGAGACCGATTAGCTGCAGATTCATGGCATATTGACGCGGTCCTGCCGCCACATGCTGGCGAGATGGTGTACGAGGATCTCCAGCCTGTTGCCGACGCTATTCAAGGTAGTGATACATTGAATGGCGTTTGTATGCTACACGCTTGTAGTCTTTCCTCTCTTCCGATGCCATTGATACGTGCACGGAAACTACATGTGTACCGCACACCCTGCAACAACACCTAGACTGGCAAGACTCACGCTCAGAATGGCCATAGCTATTGTGTACATTCAGTCCCTCTGGACCTGTTGCAAACATGCAGAAGACCAAGTTTACGAGATAAGCCTACCTTTCTTCCTTGTCTATCCACAACGTGTGCGTGTTGTATCGCAGAATGCGAGGTTTTGCAAGAGGGAAACGAGGCTTCTGTGTTCGACGACGAAGAGCTGGGGGTACAGGTTGTCGAGTTGCTAGGGAGGAGGTGTGGCGTGGCCTTCCCCTGCAGCTCAATATTGCGATATCTGTGCTTGCACGTGAAGGTGACCCAGTTCCTACGCGTTATCCGCTCGACCATTTCAGCCAAACAGCACGGACGACTGATGTAGAAGTAGCACGGTAGACTTGTGCAACTGAGCGTGTGCCACGATTTCATTTCATCCTAGACTGCACGTACCTTTGATCAGCATCAACGTATTTCAGTGCGCGTTTGCTTGGACGTGGTCTGCCGCAATGTTTGCAAACGTTAGTCACCGCTCGTCGAATCTTTGTCCCCAATACGTCATCGAGCACTAACATGCCCTAACCGCACCCCCGGCTGCGACCCGACTTCTTGCAGACGCTGGATAAGTTCTTTTCGTTTGAGGTAGAAATCGTGGACGATACCAAGCGCTATCGGTACATCGACATCAGGTATAGTCTAGTCTATGCATACGTGTGGCGATCAAATGTGTGCTTCGGCCCCTTTCGCACCCGTTGTAATGCAAACCGAGCGCTACCAACTACCCCCGGGGCCATAGCTCTCCAGCTACGTTTATCCGATACCGATCGCCCCCTCCCCCCCCTTGTCCATCACTACTGGGATGGACATGGACATCATTCCTCTTTGCCCACATCACTCATCCGCCGGTCCTGTCCGCCGTCATATCTCTCCCAACCGCACAATACTTGAAGCAATAATCGGAGTGTGGCGGACATCGGCGACGACCGCGCCTTGCTGCCGCTCAAACTAGAAGACGGCTGGCAGCGCGTGAACATCGACTTGGAAAGGACAGTGCGCCTAGTGTTCGGTTCATCGTACCTCACGACGTCGCAGGTCACGGTCCGCGCGAGCGCGAGGGTGGCCAAACTGTTTTTCCAGAGCGAGCCGTTTTCGGACTACGAGCTCCCGGGCCATCTCCGAGTTGTCGCTGAGTAGTTCAATTCAAACCCAAGGGTTTACACTTCATCATTGGCAATAAGCAAACAATAACTCCAAGCATCCTACGCCGAACTGCGGGAATGCTAGCAAGGCCCCCTTTTCAAACTGCACGTCGACATGGCCACGATTCCCCTGGATAGGCGTGTCGATGCACACCGCGCTGAATTATCAAGCGCACACAAGTCCGCCTGTCGCCTGTCGCGGGGACTACGCACAACGTGAGGACAATGTTTGAGGAGTAAGAAGAGCCAAGTATTCTTCTTGCAGGCGCATGGAAGAGCCACCATCCATGGAAGGGCTATGCATACAACTACGCTTGCCCCACTGATCAATCGTGGTCGGCGCACCGCGGACAGTGCTAAACCTGTGGGGGAGGGGGAGATAAACATTTCCTGATTCTACGTCCGTACCTTTTGCTGTTATTTTTAGCAGAACATGAAATGTTTGCCAATGTACAGTAGTGCCGCGTACAAAATATACCAAAGCATCCAATGAAAGTCGAAACTGGGTAACATGAAAGGCCACCGCAACCTCTCCCCAAAACACTTCTTGCTCCACAATAAAAACCGTACATTTAAACATTACAACTTCGCACCCGCTGCCTCTCGGAGAGACAAGACAGTAACCGAGAGTTGCTCCAAACCCTCAATTAACTGTTCACAACGACCGTCCCTTTCCTCGGAAAACTTTGCTTCAAAACGTTCATCCACTCTTCACACGAATCCTTTCTCCCCGTTCAATTTCCAGATGAGGACTGCTGTCCTGCCATGTTGGAAACCAATCCATCACAGAATCAGCACGGCATGTGATGAACTCCCTCCTTGTCGCTGTGCTTTCCTCGGAGACTCCAAGACATCGCCACCACCGTCTAGCCTCACTCTCGATCCCATCCCCCAGGCCGAGTTCCACAGCATCCTCAAAGCCGACGAGGTCATCGCCGTTGCCTGAGAAATGATGTCAGCGTTTCCCTCCGCACTCTCCGGGGCAGTTCCTCGCCCAGAGAAATCGCCACCAGTCCGGTTCCTAAACATAGTCGCCGCGGCAGCGGCGTGTTCACCGCCGTTAGAGGTGGCGACGGGGCCTGCTTCCGTAGTGGCACTGGTGTTGCCGCTGCGCGCCGTTACCTCGTCGGACGCTCCTCCGACTCCGCCAACGGCCGACACTGTCGAATCCGCGTCGTCGTTGCCGTCGCCGATCGGGCGGGGGCGCCGAATTTCTTCGACTCTGTCCTCGCCGGTGGCGGCGTACCTGCTGCCGTGAACAGACGATTTCCCGCTCCACGGTCCCGCGCGCTCATGGCGCGAAGCAACCGCAGCGGCCGCTTCTGCCGCCGCCGCCGCCGCCGCCGCCACCGGCCCCTGAGCGCTGAGGAAACGCGACGAGCGCGAGTGATAACGACCTAGGCTTCGGCTGCTGTCACTGCTGCGGGGCAATAACACCCCCCGTGTGGGCACCACTGCATGGTCGTCGGCGGAGCGCGGCGTGGACATGCCGTCGGCGCTCCTCCGGCGTGCTGATGATTGCGCCGCACCGTGCCCGGCAAGTGTGCCCGCCCTCGCGGTTGCAGCATCGCCACCTCTTGCGGGCGTTGCGGCCGAGCGTAGGGCCTCGCGGAGGGCACCGATGAGGCCGTCTTTTTCCTCGATGGTTCGTCGGAGGGAGGCCAGCTCCGCCTCAAGTGTGGCCTGAGGACGTCAGGCAGCACATCAATTTTTTTCGGGGGGGAAAGACGTTTTCCATCCGCGTCAGTTAGACAAGTGCGGAGATGAACATGGTACTGAGCGGAGACCGGAATCGCTGATGATGTGAAGACAATAACACTAACAGCAGCAACAACAACAACAACAACAATAGTTGACATCGGGGACGCAACACAAAGCATGAGCACGGAGCCGGGGGCGACAAGGTCGGTACTACGCGCTCGTTTTGTGGCCCAAAGAGGCCGCGCAGCTGTCGGCGTGAAAAGACCGAATGTTCTCCTCACCTGAACGATGCGTTCTTCGCCAAGGCGAGCGTCCAGCAGGTCCGCAAAGCGCTTTTCTCCAGCGGCCGCACCGAACCTGCCGCCGGCACCATTGTCAACTTCGCTCGTGGCGGCGGCAGCGGCGGCGGGATAGCCGCCGATCTTGCCCGTGCTGCCGTTCGCCGGGGCAGGAGAGTGTCCCGCGCCATCCCGCTGCAGGAGTTGCACCTGCGATCGTATGAATATGACAAGTCAAGACTCGTGCACTTTCTGCTCGCCGGTGCCACGTGTGCGCGTGTGGCGCTACGAGAGCGCGTGTGAAGGTTTCGTTGTCGCGACCTAGAAGCTTGATTTTCGACGAGACGGGTGCACTACAGTGGTTGCAGCGGAAGCGCGGTGCACGCCACGAGTCTGCACCGGCAGAAACCATCGGCACAACAGCCAAACAAGCTAAAAATCTGAGTTGTCTTGCGAAATACAAAAATATGGATTTCGTCCGCTCTACAACAGTGCTGGCTATTGGGGGTTTTATCGCGTTGAGCGACAATAGCTGAATCGACTAGTCCAGTGTGGACACGAAAACGCTCCATACCCAACCAATCGATGTTCAAGCTGCGCCCCCGCTCTTGCATCCAGCTCCATGCCAAGCACCCAGCTGAAGAAACACATGATTGGCCCCGAGCGTCGCCATCTTCGGCCGATATTGTTCCGACAACGACGGGAGGCCACCTCAGTCGCGTAACACATCAACACAGCTTGGTGCCTACCCCGACCCATACCTGTCTCTGGAACATTTCCACTTTGCTCCTCAGCTTCCGCCGCTCAGATTCGAGCGCCGATATCTCTATCGAAGTCCTGATGTTTTTGTCATGCGATGCCCAGGGCAGCAAGCAAAATAGCATTCATGGGTGTTAGGTTCGCCCGTAGGGTGGGTGAGCGGCGCTACTTGAAACAAACACGCATCACGCCGCATCACGTTGGTCTAGATATAATAGGTTTGACGGTAGTCGCACTTGCCCTGCTCCGCCAATGCTTTGTTCCCGTCGTCCTCGTCTGTTACGGCTTCGGGTTACCTAAAAGGAACGGGGGTCCGGCGAAAGCAATGGCCCCCAGATTCTTATGACACACAAAAAGCGCAAAGCACGAACCTATACGTTCAACACACAGCGTTCAGCGACCAAGGACAGCAAAACTGCCCCGCCCAACAAGCGAACCCACACACACTTACGAAGGAACTACGACGTGCCCAGCCACGCACCAAGCCTAGGTAACAAGTACGCATAAAACACACTTGGTGAACGCACGCACACACCTGGCCTCGACATTCTTCTCGAAAGCCTTGAGCTGTGAGCCTGTCAACCAACCCCCGCTGCCGCCGCCAATCGCGGTCGTCGTCCCTGTGGCCGCTCCCTCCCGTCTTCCCGAAGAAGAAACCTGGGTTTGATCCTTGTCGGTACCGCTGCCTTCGTCGCCGTTCAGCAGGCTCCACACGGAGGCCGGTCCGCCTAGGGCCTCCGCCTCTGCCCTGGCTGTCTGGTCAACGACGCGCCGCTTGGACAGGACTTCTTCAAGGCCATGGAGGGTCGACTGGAGAGCGTCGAGCCGGGACGCTCGCTCGTGCCCCGATTGGGACCCGCCTCCCATGCCGGCCTGGTGGCCGCGCAACGGGACAAGCGTAGGGTCAACACAAGACCGCGATAAGTGATCATGAAAAAGAGGAAGGAAACCGCAACGCGATCGTGAAAGACAACAATCATGGACATGGTGCACAGCGAAAGCTACGTTTGTTGTCCCGAGAGCTCTCAACGGAGGAAACAGCATGGGGAAAGAGCGGAGCGGGCCTGCGGCAGCGTCGGTTGCCACGGCAGCCGCCAAGCAACACCATACACGCGCCTACCAGTGATAACACGCGTCACAGAGGAATGGGTACTGCTCTGTGGCGATTGATACTTGGCCTCTCTCCAAAGGAGCGCCTACTCAAGGAGTTGCTGGCCTGCGCGTTTCACAACTATTTTCTGGTTCTGGGAAACTGCGCGTCATGATGCGACAAACACAATGCTGGCGGGGAAAAAAGGGGGGGTGTAGGGCTGTGCGGCATCGAGCGAACGGGTCAGAGGAATGCACGTATTTTGCTGCCAAATGCAGAAGACCGCAACCTCGAGTCTTCGGTGTGGCCCGTCGATATCACCTTCAGTCCACGAAGATCTCTGCAGAGCTGAAGCGCCCGAGCCAGCTGATGATCCGCAGCGTTGCCGAGCCCCGCGCCTTGGTCTTCAAGACGCCGCATCGAGGCCCACCGGGCCGCAGCCCGCGTGTCGGAGCTTGTCAGCCCCACACCATTTCCTGACGAAATCGCTGCACCCAAGCCTGAAACCCCGCCCCCCCCGATCCCTGACGCACGGCCAGGTTCTCCTGGCCCCACTACGGGACTCCTGTGGCGGCCGTTGGGCGGACTTTCTGGCAGGGCTGCGCGAGTGAAAGGGTTTGAGCTGTCACTGTTGGCAGTGTCGAAGTCCAAGTTTTGCGTCGGTAGGACGCTGGACAGGAAGGCGGCCTGGGACGTTCGCGCTGCCTGTCGCACAATCTGTTTGCGGCACACGTAGCATGGCGTTGCACCGGGGAGAGAGCGAGCGCGCGAGAGAGAGAGAGAGAGAGAGAGAGAGAGAGAGAGAGAGAGAGAG